ATTGAAACATGGAGAAGAGAAGGAAGATGGGTAGGTAGTTCATTTAGAACATTTAAAAAATCTTTCAAAGCAGACAATGATTTACTCCAAGTTCCATAAGCAGAGCCTAGAAATACTGATGGTTAAACGGGAATGGAAGACAATGAGAAGGACAGAGAGGTCTTCAACAATGCCAAATTCCCAGACTTGATAATGGGCATCCCAATTTCTATCTGTCAAACTGCCAAAAGATATTAAAAAAGCAAGCCAATAGGAAGAAAATGAAGTTATACTTTGAGGTATCTTTGCAAAAATTCACACCTCCATATAGCCTTCCATGCTGCCAACAATACCCCAAAACATCAATCACCTTGTTTCTGTGAATCCATTCAGAGGGAAAGCACAAAATTTTTACAGCTTAATTATTTGGTGGTTAATTGCTTTAATTCATAATTTCTTGGAGCTAATATGGTCTGAACCATAAATTCTCTAAATAAGATGAGAAAAACCACAATTTTAAAATTGTATAAAGAATTATTGTACGATAACACAAAAACCCAAAGACAATGAAAGCTATATTTGAACAAGCATGTATTTAGCATTTTCAAATTGGTTTAAATAACTTCCACGAGAAGATTAGAATTGCCCTAGTAGCTACTTTCTCTAATAAAAAAATTTCATTATTTTTAAGACAACCTATGCTTTATAAACAGTCTGTTTATTAAAAGCCATGTACAAAATGATAATATTTTTGTTCATTCATCTACCTATCCATTCAACAAGAGGTGTTCAGTAACAGCCGTGTTCCAGCATCATGTCAGGTGGTAAGGTTACAGACATAAATAAGGTCCCTCAAGGAATTCAGCCTAGCTGGGGCAACCAACCCGTAAGGAAATAGTACCATCAAGTTTTAAGGATATTTTGAGAGATAATGATGATCACTTTGGGTCACAAGGAGAGTTGCTGGTGGAGTTAGGAAGACATCATAGGGGATGTGATGCTTGAGTCAAGGATAAGCAGATGTTCAGCAGGCAGTGGAAAAGGGGGAAAGGACTTTCCAGGCAGAGGGAGCAGCACACGCAAAGACACGGAAGTGGAAAAGTGCACAGCACATCGAGATAGACACCTGGGAGTGGTTCAGTGTAGCTTTGATGACAGAGCAAGGGAGGCACTTTTTAATGAGACCAGAATAGAAGAGAAGGGGTCTGGGTGAAAAGATCATGTATTCAGTTTTGGATGTGATGCTTGAGGGCCTCTAGGAAGAGTTGCCAGCAGGCATTTTCAGAACTGCCTGCAGACCTGGGCAAGAGAGATGCTCCCTTAGCCTCCCTTTAGAGGGCCCTGTTCTGTCCTTCCTCCAGATGTATGTACTCCACCACACAGGCCAAGGGGACTTCCTCACCCCAGAGCCCACACACTCCTACCCTTTCTAGATTATACCAGGCCCCCAGGACCACAAGATTCCTTGTTTAAACAGCCCAAGCCTGCTTTCAGGGCCTGTGGAGGATTCTTCCTTGGGTCCACTCTCCTAGGAATGTGCACCTAGAGGAATGTGCACCTAGAGGTGTAGTGTGCAAAGTGGACCTGAGGATGATGTTGACAATGGAGATGGCAATGATGATGACTCTGTTCCTTTGCATTTCTTTTCTCTGTCTCAAACACCCCTTTCCTCTTTCTCCACCTCTACCCAAATTCCTACAGATCATATTCTCTAGGAAGCTCTGTTTTGCCCCACAATTCTGGAGGAAGGATAGTTTAACTTCCTCAACCAGGGTTCTTTATCTGAACCATGAAACAAGAAATTGATTTCAGTACTATTCTCTCAAGGCTGGTACATAACTAGTACCATTCCAGATTCACAGGAGAAGTTGATTTATTACCTAATTTGATGCCTTAGGACATTTAGGATTTATTTCTTTTATCTGTTGAGAAATACATAGGCTCTAAAATCAAGAATGCTACCGTGGGCCAGACACAGTGAGTGGTTCATGCCTCTAATCCCAGCAGATTGGGAGGCTGAGGAGGGAGGATCACTTGAAGCCAGGAGTTTAAGATCATCCTGGGAAACAAAGCAAGACTCTGTCTCTACAAAAAAATTTAAAAATTGACTGGGCACAGTGTGATGTGTGCCTTTAGTCCCAGCTACTTAGCAAGCTGAGTGGGGAAGATAACTTAAGCCCAAGAGTGAGGCTGCAGTGAGCTATGATTATGCCACTGTACTCCAGCCTTGGTGACAGTGAGACCCTGTCTCTAAAAGAAAAAAAAAAAAAAATGCTACTGTGTTATTGTCCCTCTGCCCTTGACCTTGGTCATTAGCACAGATGGCTGGAGGAGGGAAGCTATGGGAAGGAAGTATCAGAGGATAGGGCTTTTGTTATCTCTGACCAGCAAATTGAGGAAGAGGTCTAGAGAGGAAGTACATTCTCACTTTCCCAACATGGGCAAAGGTAGAGAGCTGTAAGGTCTAACCAGTCAGGACAGGAAAATTCAAAGACAACCATCTCCTAGGCCTTGATGTGTTGGTCATCACCAACTTTCCCAGGTGGCAATTGCCAAAGTCAGGCAACACTGTATGTCATGTTGCGGAAGACAAATGCTCTCTAAATAAATTGACTTGAAACAGTCTAAAATACACATAAACCACAATGGCTTTAAATGTAACTCTTGACATTTTTTTCATTTTCTTTCTCTTCTAAGAGAGGTCAGCCAGGAAAGTTCTGTGAGAGAGGCTTTACGGAAATTCAACCTAAGAAGCCCGGGAGGACTTCTATGTATCTGCTGTAACAAACATATTTCACTCCTAAATATTTGTTTAAAAGCTCCTGGAGTCTTTAAACTCCAGAGATGGATACATATATCCCTGAGCATGCACCTGTATTTCAGACTTAACCATTCATTTGTTATAAGCTATACATCAATCCTTTAAAAAAATCATTTTCTAGAGGAGGTGATTATTCATTTTGCCATTCAATTTCCCATCATTAAAAATTTCATGCAGTAAAATCACTGCATATGAATGGGGTACTATGTAAAGAGAATATTTTTAGTGACTAAACTGAAAGAAAAGATCATTGATGGCTCTTCCATCTAAGGATTTGAGGAGGAATCAGAGAAAAATTTCTTAGGAATACCTTTGAAAGACTTGGAAGCTACCAGAATGCATAGTAATGAAATGGAGGCCTTAGGGCTCCCTTTTCAGCTCAGATTCGGAAGCAGAGGTGCCCGCTTTTAAGTAACATTCTATCTCAACGGTATTTCATTCGCAGGATAAAGTTAATTAAATCTCTTTCCCCCCACCATCATTACGTCACCACTTTAGCAAGGACAATAGAAGCACAGGGTCCTGAGTCTGCACTGACTGGTCATTCATCTGAAAAGACGATCACAGGGTGGCCAATGCTAATTGGAAGAGCATTTAATGCCTGGTTTGCATGACTGAAAGAGGACCCACCTCTGGCCTTGCAAATAAAAGACTTGATGGTGTGAGAAAATGGCTAACTTGGCTAAAGGAGGTTAAATTCCACTGAAGCCTTTCAAGTGGGTGCAGACAGGGCAATGTTCTGTAGGGAGCTGTCTTCAGTAGGCAAGATTTCACCTTGGCTTGTAAAATATGCTATTCACTAGGTTTTAAGGGTCCATGTGCTTGTGCTTTTTACTGGAAATTTCTCAGATCTTGACATGGCTTGTGGTGATTTTTTTCTGAGCTGTATTCTACCAACAATCTTCTTGAGGAACTGCGTTTTGAGCATTAAACCTTATTCCTCTAAAGAGGAATATTTCCCAGCGTCCTCTCTGCCTAACAGGACTGGCTGTCTACTTTAGTAATGCCTATATTCTTGCAGCTTCTTCATCATACCATGCGATTGCACACCTCTGGACCTTTGCTGTCACTTACTGTACCCAGAACTTGCTTCCTTCTTTACTCCCTGCTTTTTCCTAGCCTATTTTATAACATCAGACAATTTAGCAATTATCTTCTCTAGGAACCCTTCTGAACCTCTCCAGTGACCTAAGGTCCTCACCTCTGCATCTCCTAAGCCCCTCTATAGTTACAATTATATTCAAATTGAGTTCACACAGTAGGTGCTCACTATCCACCTGTTAAATATTTCAGGTTATGCACAACTTTGTTTATTTGGATGGGACCAAGGAGCCAGTTTTTATGTGGTTTTAAGAATATTCATTTAAATCTGTGGAGTTAGAAACCCAAAAGGGCAAATTTGCTATGAAGGGGAAGAAGGCATATTATAGTGACCAGTTGTTGAAGTCCTACCCTGTGCCAGTTACTTATATTTTACATAATTCTAATCTTTGCATAATTCTAATTCCCACAATATTCTTTGGAGATAGGTCTTATTGCCTGTATTTTACTAGTGAGACTAATGATTAAATGACTCATCTAAGGTCATACAACTGAGAGAGGGACTCAACTAACTCATGCCTAGCTCTGTCCAATTCAGAACCCTATTACCCTACGATAACAAGGGGCCATTTGAAGTGGCTAATCCCACTGAAACTCCGATACTGTGACTTTTGAATGACTTTTCTTTTCTGGTAAGTTACCTCGGCAAAGACGCGAAGAGGAAGTATAAACGGAAGACCCTTTGCGATTAGCCTGTCAGCTGAACAGCTGCATTTGCCCGTATCCAGATTTACATGGGTTTTGTGAGGGAGTGAAATGAGAAACGTGCGGCTTCCAGGAGGCCAAAACACCAGGCAAAAAAGCTGAGTTCGGGGTACTAGTTTATGGGAAGCTTTCAGCTTCATTATCAACTTAAGGTGTTTTCCTCTACCCCTCAATAAGGGGCGGGAAAGCGTGTGAGTGTGGCAGGGAAGGATGGGTGGAGGAGGAAGGTTCTCCAGCCAAACGCAAAGCCAGCGACTTTGCCGCCTGGCGCAGTTGCCAGGACAGCGCGGCCGGAGCAGCAACGGCAGAAGCCGCACTCGGGTGACGCATTGCAGGTACGAACCAGCCAATCACCGGCTGGCTCAACAACCATCGGGGTACGCGTCACCGCCACGATGCTCCTCCGCGCCGCAAAGTAGCGCCTCTCAGGAGCGGTTCCACCGGACTTTTAACGGCTCGCTAGGGAATGAAACCCACTTACGTCATCCGTTCGCCCACTTTACTTGATCTCTTGCCTTGTCGACCAAATAACTGTGAAGAAAGAGGTCCCGAGAAGAGTTTGAGGGGAGGGGTGTTGACCGGGACTCGTTTGTGATGTTCCGTTATCTGAAGCGGCGGAGGGATCTGGCGGAGGGAGGTGTTTATGAGGCGCTGGGGGCGGAGGAGGAGAATTAGTCCGAGTGAAGCGAGCGAGTCGAGTGGTTGTGTGGTCGCGTCTCGGAAACCGGTAGCGCTTGCAGCATGGTGAGTGCTTCGCTGAGCTGCCGACGCTGGGCCTGTGGGGGGCGGGAAGACGCTGGAACGAATTGACTAAAGAAAGGAAACTCGCCTCACTTACAACTTCAAGGAGTGGTATCTGCCAGAGGGATGGCGCGAAAGAGGCCGGGGACGCCCGCGACGGTTGTGTCGCAGGCGCTCCCCACCCCCATTCTCCTCAGGGGGGGTTTCCTCTAGTGAGTTGAGGGCCGGACGCACAGCTCCCAAGGTCGTGAAGCTCCTTGGGGGCTCGGCTGGAGGAGGATGGGTCTGGCATGAGAGATATCCCAGTGCACTGGGAGGAGAGATAGTGGAAGGAATGCGGAGAGGGATCGCAGAGAGCCTTCGGTCGGGCGTCTCGAAAGGTCAAGCTGGGGCCGGATTCAAATCCCCAACGGACTGTTAGTGCGGGCGCCAGGAAGCGCCTTTGTCCGCCTGCGGCCGCCATGCGCCCAGGGGGCGGGAGGAGCGCGCGGGGCCCTGGGGCGAGCGCCGGCGCCGCCGTTAGCCCGCGTCCTCCGCGTGCTGGGGTCCGGTGGGCTGGCGGGCGGCGCGCTGAGTGGGCCGAGCCCGCGCCGCGCAGGGAGCGGCCGGTGGGGGCGGGGCGGGCGAGCTCCGCGCGAGACCCGGAGCCGCCGCCCGGCTCTTCCCCGCTGGAGCTCCAGCTGCTGTGCTGGCACCTGCAGGACTGCGGAGATCTCCGCGGCGCTGCGGGGCCGTTGGTGGGGATGAGCGGGGGGAGGGGGGCCCTAGACGGGTTCCCATCCCCCTCGGGCAGTCTTAATCTTCCTGCTCCATCTGGGCCCTGGGGCGTCTTCCACCACCCCAGGCCGGATGCTTTAAAAAAAATTTATTTTTTCTAAAGTGTCTTGTTGAAAGTAATTAGCTTTACCCTTGAAGTCTGGGGCTCATCCTCGCAATATACATCTTGTTAGGGAAAGTGTTCGGCTCGGCTCCAGCTTAGGGATCTACAGGCGTTACCGCCGGAGAAAAGCAAGCTCCCGAGTGACTGCCTTCTGATAGTCGGTCTGGTCTCGTACAGTTGAAAGGATGTCTTTGAAGAGCCCCTGTCTGCCCTATTCTTGAAAATTCAACGTGCAGTCCTAATGTTCAAGAACCACGACCACGTAAAACGTTTTTCCCCTTCTGCTGCTTTGAAAACGACCCTAATTACCGTGTAGAAATTGCCAGGTCGTCTTAACGTACACTTCATTTGCGTGGTGCCTGTCAAATACTGTGATGGAGGAGGAGTATATAATGGGGGGGAGGAGCGGGGAATTTTTAAAAGCCTTTTCCAGTCACCTCAGACTGGAGATCATGTTCTTTGCTGGAAAAAAAAAAAGGAAAAAAAATTGTAACGAGGGCGGTAATCTGCGATACTTATTTTGTGGTTCCTCTGCCAAGTGGTTACAGCGATGGGTGTGTCCACGAGGCAAGGTGACATCTTAAACAGGAGTTGGGCATCCTTGCCAACTGAAACCTCCAGCCTGTATGGGTGTGGGGAGAGGAGTTCATTTTAAATAAAACTAGAGTTCATTGAAATTGGGTAGATTCGCTTCATCTGAATTTGAATGTGCTGGTTACATTTGCTCTCTGTAAGATGTATTTATAGGCATATGTAGTCAACATTACGAGTTGTGGGGTAAGCTTTTTTTAAAAATAAAGGAAAGGTAAGATTTTCTCAATGAGTTTTAATAACTGAATCAGTAATTCGAATAGATTTTTCTTGGTAGAGTCGGAATCTATGCTTTTGTGGTCGCTTTCCCAGTGTTAAACTTTTGTAGTTACTGTTTCCATCACTGGTGCTTTGGGGGTGTTCTGTTAAATTTGAGGTGTCTTACTAGAAGAGACAAAGTCGGGAAAAAAAAATCTTAATAAAAATTGATAGATACCATTAGTAAACTTGAAAGTTGCCTTCAGATAACTATATAACTAGAAAACTGAGCTTTTAAATTAGGACTCCAATTAAAAAAAAAAACTTAGCTGGGCGTAGTAGCCTGTGCATTTAGTCCTGGCTACTCAGTGGGCGGAGGCAGGAGGATCATCTTGGGCCCAGGAGTTGGAGACTGTAGTGAGCTGTGATCACACCATTGCACTCCCTGGGCAAGAGAGTGAAACTCTGTCTCTCAAAAAACAAGAAAATTAGGACTCCAAGTTAAAGTATAAAAAATTTGATATGGAAGTAAAGTAAGGTTGCTCATATAACTCCTCTTGGGTTTACATGTAGTCAGTATATGCTCACTGAAAACGGGATTGCTTCAAGAGGACTTTGAGGCCAGGGTGATTAGGTAAGTAAAAGATAAAGGTAGAAAATTTTTGTCATTTGGGTCTAAGTAATTATTCTGGTAGGGCCTGTTTCTGTTAGGCTCAGAAGATTAAAAGATTTGGCTCTTTTAAAATATAGAAAGTTCTGACTTCAGCTAGAATTTAGGCCTTTTAGTAATAGCCCTAATTTTTATGAAGCCATTTTGTTCCAGTGATCTTTTGGTGAGAGATGCTATGTAAGTTTTTCAGAATTAGGTGTCTTTTTACCCTAATGAAATAATTTACATTGCTTTTGGCATAGGTAAAACAACCTGTAATTGTAGAAAAACCATATGAATCCTTTGTTGTAGAACCTGATTGTGGGGGGAATGAGCAGACAGGAATGGATGAAAGATAGCAGTTTGTGTTCCATTTCAAACCTGTGGGCTCACACATTTATTCAGATAAGAACTTCAGATTGTTTTTTTAACCACCTTTCAATAAATAAACTGGCATGCAGGAATACATAATGTATTCACTTTAGGTCACTAATGTAATACAGGTTCGTGTTTCTTAGTGTTGACAGATCCACCTATAGTTCTCCAAAATGCACATTCTAGTAGAAGAGGTCTAGGGGAGGAACCCGAGAGTAGCACACTAATGTCTAGGAATCTGGAGTGGCAAGAGCAGTGGGAAGAATTAAATCAGTAGCTACAGAAATAACAGTAAGAACAAGTCATCTCTCTAGTGAATTATTCTTCACTTCAGTGAGATAAACATACATGTTAATGAGCTTGAGTTTTCCCAAAAGTATAATTCTTCTGGTTCTTATAAGAAAATGACACTCTGTGGAAACAGAAGGAAAAACCAAATTTATTTGCCTTTGTAGCAGTTGGGAAAGTTAGCGCTAGGAAATCTTCTTGCTTTATACTAGGCTTTAATCTGGATATTGCTGGTAAAGTTTTTTCTGAAACCTTGAACTCTGGATAAGTAGTAAATACAAAAAGCTTCTCAACCTTCCAAGCAAAATTGAGAGCTTTCAGGTTATGTGAGTAACTTAGTCTCTTAGGTGGTTAGTTGATTCCTTGAACTTCATTTTTATGATCTTTTCCAGGATTGCATTTGCTTTGAGGTAGGGAGTTAGACAAGATGATATGAGGTCCCTAAATTTTTACTTACCAAGCAAAATTGGACAGTGGTTCCTTAATTGCTAACATCTTCTTTCTTCCTAAGGCCTCTCATGTTTCATATACAGGAACCTTCCCAAAATCCCATCCCCCACCACCCTCCATCATGTAGAGAGAACAAACCTGTCTCTCTTGTACAGAGTACAGGATCCCTCAACTTTCACACAGGCTGCAGTGTCTGCCACACATTTAGCTCAACGTTTTTTAGTCTTAAACTGATGTCACCTGCTGCATCTGTCCCTGGGTTGGACCTTGTAGATTTAGGTTGCATAAATTTTCTCTGCTTAAAGTTAACATCGAATGGAGTAGGCTTACCATAAAGCGCTTAATAAATGCCATGCATGTCTACATTCTGTGTGGAATTTGAGCTAGTCAGGTTGATACTTAACATTGTAGGTTCTTTAATTTATATAAAATAATAGTTAACTGTTTAACTCTTTAGGCTAGTTTTGTACATAGCATCTCACTTTGCACAACAATCCTACAAGGTAAGTATTGTTATTCTTGTGTTACAAATAAAGTTGACTATGAGAGGTTGAGTACCATGTCCAGGGTCACGCAGCTGTTAAATGGCAGAGCTGTGATACTGTGGGATAGCCTTATTGTGACTCAGAACTTTATGCTTTACCCACACGCCATGCCCCATAGTCCTTCCTTTCAGAAATGATGGAAGTCCTGCAAAATGCAATAAACTGAAGTACTGTAGCTTCTATTGTAACAAAGTAAATAACTCAATAGATTTACTGGATTTTAAACCTTATTCTTTGGGAAAACAAACTGACTGACTTCACACCCAATATTTGTTGATGGAGGATTTGGACGTTAGGGATAAAAGTGGATACATTTTTATTTTACAAACTCTATTTGAACTTAATTATTGTCTCTTCAGTTTTAAATTACCAGCTTTTTTTTTTTTAAATTTTATTTACATCATGGTCAAGTAAAAATTGTTGAGCAGGGAAAATAAACTACTTTCTGAATTCCTTCTCGAATTTTCTCATGCTGTGCCCTAGAGAAAATGTGAGGCTATTCTACATTAAGGTGTTACTTTTCCCAGGGGTTGTGTTCATTTAAAAAGAATGAAACCAGGCAATGTTTATTTTTCTTTTACTACAAATAAATGAATGGATTAATCATTGTATATTTGACTGCCATGTTGAGAGGGATTTTAGATAGGAGGCTGTTTCTTGGCTGTGTTTCTCAATACTCCATAAGCAGTTGCTTCATGGCTGTATGTACTAATAAGCATTGAAAAAAGTACATGTTCAAAGAATACAACAAGGAGTCTGGATATTTTGCAATCATCTTTATATATTACGGTGGTCTGAATTAAAAGCTAAAAGTTACTGAGTGTGTCTGACACCTTAGTGCTTTACTTTGGTTCTACTAATTTTGTCTTCCCCACTCCCATTTAACCCTAGCTTCATTCCTAATCTGTAAGATAGGGGATATTACCATTATAAGGTTATTGTTAAGATTGAATAAGGATAAAATTTATAATAGGTTTTAGCAAATGCCAGAAAATATTTTCTGACGAAAACCAAGTGCTATTAAAAAATATCACAAGCCTTAGCCTTACTTTGGGATTTTAAAAACCAAGAGAAAATGGATGGCTGAACTTTTAAACATTTGGTAAGTATTGTAGTTCAGATGTTCAGAACTCCGGATTCTTTGCATTTGCCTGCTGGGTGAGAAGGAATAAAAGCTTATTGCCCCCCCCCCCTTTTTTTTTTACATTTTGGAAGATCACTTTCATTTCAAAATGAAGTGTTTAACCATTTGTGGGAGTAATTTTCATTTTGTGATCCTGAAGCATTTTGATTCAATGGGAATTTCTGGTGATTTATTTCTGGCATAGAAGTAAGCTTAAGTTTAGCTATTCTAATGTTGAAAAAGGAAGTGATGTTTCTTTTGGATTCTAAAGTATACTTTGAAAAATATTTCGAAGTATTTGTGTATCTTAAACTTGAAGTTAAGACAGCTTAGCTTTGAAGATAAGAAACCAGATGTGTGCATTTTCTACCCAGATGTGTTTGTTGCTGGAACTAAATGAAACAGTACAGGGTAACTCTTGAAAGGTTTTAAACTTGTTTATGTAACTGCTAATCTACATGCTCTCAAGTCACTAACCTATCTCTTTGATCTCGTAGGCTGACCAACTGACTGAAGAGCAGATTGCAGGTGAGAAATACTCAGCTAGATTGTACCCATTAGATTGTTATAAATTGAATAGCCAACTTAGAATAAGAGACTTGTATGAAAGAACTGACTGTAGTATATGTCATAGATACTAACATGGATGTAATGTCATACAGTAATTCAGCCTGCTTTGGCAAGTGGGATTGTCAAGTAGCCTGTGAAAGATGGGCGGGGCTCATTGTAATTAAAGACATGTATTTTATAGTCTGTGTGGATATACTTTGGAGCCTTGTGGTGTAGTAGTGGTGGTCTTTGTTTTGTTATTTTTGAAGACTACCTTAGTATAAAACAGGAATTCTGGGTTGCTTAACACTTTAATTTCAAACCAGTCTCCACAAGAGAAAGGGGGCCAGGAAGTAACTAAAGCAACTTGAAATGGAGAATCAAAAAGGAACACTGAATTTACCCTAGTTAAAATTAGCTAATATTTTAACCTAAGAATTGCATATTTAAGAAGTTGGCATTCTATTTTATAAATGTCACTGTAGCAATATGGATTTTTCTTTTAAAAAGCAGTGACAGCTATTGAAGCTGCTTAAATCTTGTCCTCTTTAGTTTGCTTTGGAAAGTATGTGAAATTATTACATAATTGTATGTCATGTTCTCTTTATGCCATCCCACAGAACATTAATACTTTTGATTTATCCTTATACTTTGAGATGACGGTTAATGTCAATGTTAGGGAAGTGTTTTTTCTTTCCTTACTGAAGTTTGTTTTTATTTTTTTAATTGTAGTGTTGAAATGCTTTGCAAACTATTCCTTTGTTTTCATTAGAGACTTTATTAGTATGAGCACCAAGCAGTTTATCTGCCACAGTTTTCACAGTAAGCAGGAAGGGTTTGATAAGAGCTTAAAAACCATTTGAGCACTTTTTCTAATGCTGGAGAAAATGAGAAGCCCAGTTGGAACTAAGCTATATAGCCAGTTTAAAGCAAGTTCCCCACTTACATAAGAATGTAGAAATTTGGGGGATACCAAAATTATACTAGTCACCTCAAATATTCATCACAAATACTATTTAATAGGATTGTAGGTAGAAAGCTATTAGTATTAAAGATAAACTTAAGCAGGTTATATTTTTACTTATTGTGTAATTTAACTTAAACTTAGTTTTTACTTTCTGAGGTTTGTAAATTTACATGTATTGAGTGTTTTGAAGCAAACAGTTTTGAGAATAATTTTTTTTGTTGAGTTGCACTGTTTTAAATGTGTCACCGATTTGATTGCATGTCTCCTCAAAAAGACTGGCGCCTGGTGGCTGGTCATCTTGCACTTTGGGAGGCTGAGGCAGCAGGATCACTTGAGCCCAGAGACCAGTCTGGGCAATATAGTGAGGCATTCATTGCTACAAAATAAAGAAAAATAAATGTATCATCAAAATGTTTTTCTGAAATAGTTTTTTTTTAATATAGATATAATGTCTCCTTCCCAAACTCTCAGGCTAATACTTTCAGTCTTAAACTTTGACCTTTTTTAAATACACCTGCCTTTCATTTCTCAATATTCCCAGTCAGGTAGTTGTACCTACTGTATGCAGCACAGCATGTTCACGTTAGGGTAGAAAATTGCTACTTAATGTGGCTATTGCATGGTTGATGGTCATTACTGCTCTGCTAACACTTTCTCTAAAAAGAAAGTTTTGTTGGCCTGGCGCAGTGGCTCATGCCTGCAATCCCAGCACTTTGGGAGGCCAAGGTAAGATCGCGTCTCTGCACTCCAGCCTGGGCGACAGAGTGAGACTCCATCTCAAAAAAAAGTTTGTATCTATCAATACAAGAGGATCCATCTTTAGTGACTGATAGCATTTTATTTTATTTTTTTGAGACCAGGTTTTGCTCTTGTTGCCCAGGCTGGAGTGCAATGGCACGATCTCGGCTCACCACCACCTCCATCTTCCAGGTTCAAGTGATTCTCCTGCCTCAGCCTCCTGAGTTGCTGGGATTTCAGGCTGGTCTTGAACTCCTGACCTCAGGTGATTTGCCTGCCTTGGCCTCCCAAAGTGCCAGGATTACAGGCGTGAGCCACTGCACCCGGCCTGATAGCATTTTTATATAAAGAATACTTGTAGTTCATCAAAACTGTGACATTTGGGACCTGTTCTCTTTATTGTCTTTAAGATAAATTCTTTTTGTTGGCTTTCATCATAAAATTAGGTTTCCAATGAGAGTAGGGGGGGAAAATCTGTTCTTAGGTTCTCTTCTTACTTTACCTTTTCCTAGACCACAGATTTCTAAGCTATTCCTTGGGACCCCCCACCCCCCACGCCCTGGTTTTAGTTAAGATTTAGAGCAGAGGAACTAAAACTTTTATGCTACTAAAATACAAATTATATGAAGTCTGGGACCTTTTTGTTTTGTTTTGTAGGCCCAGTATCTGCCACATAGTAATCATTGAATAAATTTTATTCTCAGAGAGTAACGGAAAAAAGTTCTAGAACACAACTGCCTGCTCTCTTAGTCTCTTCCTCCCAAATTTGGTATGTTTTAATATTTACCTTTGAGATGAAGGCAGTTTTTTAATATGGTAAGTTGTAATTGCTGGTGGCTGGTGGTGGTTCATGTCTAATCCCAGCACTTTGGGAGGCTGAAGCAGGGGGATTGCTTGAGCCCAGGAGTTCAAGATCAGCCTGGGCAACACAGTAAGACCATGTCTCAAAAGAAATGGCCAGGCATGGTGGCTCACACCTGTAATCCCAGCACTTTGGGAGGCAGAGGCAGGCAGATAACAAGGAGTTTTGAGACCAGCCTGACCAACATGGTGAAACCCCATCTCTACTAAAAATACAAAAATTAGCCAGGTCTTGTGGCACACACTTGTAATCCCAGCTACTGGGGAGGCTGAGGCAGGAGAATTGCTTGAACCCGGGAGGCAAAGGTTGAATTGAGCCTAGATTGCACCATTGCACTCCAGCCTAGGTGACACAGAGCAAGACTGTCTCAAAAAAAGCAAAAGAAAAAAAATCTTTAATTGAAAGTGCTGGTGACCACTAACATCTTAGAGGATCTGTTTGTCCCCATCACCAAAACTAAAAAGCTTCAAACATATAATGCAATATTGAATATACTCTCGTACTTTTAAAGCTATTTTTATCATGTGATTATACAGTTTTTTTTAAAAAAAACTTCCTCTAGAGAAAAACATACGTGTTCAGTTGAAGTTACTAAAAGAAAAAAAAAATTATTATTTTTTTGAGATGGAGCTTTGCTGTTTCCCAGGCTGGCATGCAGTAGCACGATCTCTGCTCACTGTAACCTCCACCGCCTGAGTTCAAGCAATTCTCCTGCCTCAGTCTCCCAAGTAGCTGGGATTATAGGCGTGTGCTACCCTGCCTGGCTAGTTTTTAGATTTTTAGTAGGATGGGGTTTCACCATGTTGACCAGGCTGGTCTTGAACTCCTGACCTCAGGTGATCCACCCACCTTGGCCTCTCAAAATGTTGGTATTGTAGGCATGAGCCACTGTGCTGGGCCTAGAACTTTTTGTATTACCTGGTCATATAGCGCATTCTAGTCTAGTATGACATCATTGACAAGTTCATTTTGTTGATAACTCTGCCATGATGTCATTAGTTGTTGCTGTTTGACCTTTGGAAGACTGATAGGAAAAATATATAGTAATTTTTCCTTAAGAAATCCATCCCTAAACTTTGATTTCAAGGTCCAAATTTGTTTGATAAAAATATTAATGTTACTCAGCGTATAGCAAAAATTGCAGGAAGTGCCACAAGAGTTCCAGTACATGATTTTTAAGGGGTTATTAAGTTCAGAATTTTGTGAAGAAATAAAAGTTAATAAACAGTCATTTGATTAGTTTTATAATTACCTTGTGATGACCTATTTAATAAAATTTTTAAAATGTTATTTTAATAAAATCGTACGTTTAGGTAATAAACTAGGGAAGGGCCCTGAGGTTGCTAATGAACAAATAAAACCTGAGTAATAGATTTTTCTGAAAGTTTCAATTTGGTCATAGCTAAAATGGATCTTGGTAGGTTCTTTATACCTATCAATTATGTAGAAAGCTGTCCTGTGACATTCAGGGCCCATTCTTTTTATTGTGTGTTTAGGTTTTGACTCTTGGATTTATATTTCAAGTCATTCCTGGAAGTTACTGTTTAGAATTATATGCTAGTTTTGAAGTACAGGTAAACTGTAAAGGCAGGTGAATTGAAATTGTACTTTGAGGTTTATTATTTTGAGTTCTTGTAGGTATTTTTTACTTTTAAGTGTAAAAATACAAGTAGAAATTTGAAATAAACTTTAAATTTTAAAAGAAATGTTATTCCTTCCTTGAATGAATAATATAAATAGTAGTGTTAGCATAGACAGTTTTATTTTCTCCATTTAACTTATTCGAGCAAACATCTTAAGTGCTACTAGATTTTAAAACTTCTTGTAAGTTACACATAGACAATTTTACACTATGCATCTTCCAGTATTTAGCTTTTTGTTAAATCATAATAGAAAGGTGATTACTGCTAAACATTGGGAATTTATGCACCTAATGGTAGTGTTAAGATGCTTATAGCAGAGAATGTAATATAAACAAATACATATCTCAACGTCCTTTAATTTTCTTGTAACCTATATTAGGTGCAATGTGTCTGAATGCTAATATATGTATTTCTAGATACTTCTATATTCTGTTTAAAAACTTACTAAAATTGAAATGTCTTTTTATCAATCATGCTATTTGTAGGTGGAGACTCCCTGATCTGTTTTTGTCATTAGGTTCATCTGGGTTAGCACTGTATACTATTTTTATAGAATCAATTATTAGTGTGGTACTAAACTTTTGCTTGGTATTAGATGAATTCCTCTAGAAACAAGTAATACTGAAATAAGAAAGAAGGTAGTTAGGAGGCAAGTTTAATAGCCAGGCAAAAGATGATGGCGACTTTGAACCAAAATACTGGTTGTAGAGATGGAGGAAACATCAGGCAGTATTTAAATAGTAGAATTCAAGACTTGTTGACAGATTACACATGGAAAGAGTTGGCTGTCTGGATTTTGCTAGTATCCCTAGGGTTGCTTGGGAGTATAGATTTCATTTTCATATGTCTTGCTTGTGATCAGCCAGCAAAGAGATACCCTGTAGACAGCCAGAAATAAAGGTATTTATTGAGCAAAATGAGTCGACTAAAGAAATCTTCATTGTAAGTGGTATAGACGAAATGGCCAAGGAAAGAAAAAAAGGAAAAAGTTGGTCACATCCAGATATAAGAGACAGGAGTAAGAGCCTTTGCCAGTGTATGGTAGGAGGAAAATCAAAGTACTGTTATGAAGGCCAGTACAAGTTTTGAGAGCTTTTTCATGCAGTTTTGGATGCTGCAACAAAATGAGATCATCTTTATCTTGACATTTATTAAGTATTTATTTGTTGGACATAGTTCTAAGTGTTTTACACATACTAATGTTTTTTTTTTTTTGGTTGGTTGGTTGGGATGGCCAGGTGAACACCCTTGTGGGCATGGTATACTGTGTTACCCCACATATTGGACACATTTATGCTATTTCACAGACATGAGGAAGCTGAGGCAGAAAAGGTTTAGTAACTTGCCCAGATTACATTGCCAGGAGAAGGAACAGAGCTAGGAAATTCTAACCCAGTAATCAAGTTACAAAGTCTCATTTTAGTTTGTAATGCCATATGGCTTCCCACTGAAACATACTTGGTGGATTGGGTGACTGACTAGTGGTCATTGGTAAACTCAGCATTTTCAGGGATGAGTTGAAGCTGTGTATCATTTTTAATAGTGGATTGTTAGGAGAGAGGAAATTGGTATGAGCCAGTGGTGCCTTCCAAAATTTGGGGAAGGATAAGGGCAAGCACTTAAAATATAACTAAGGTTTCAAATTAGTTTTAAGGTAAGAGATAGGAAGTTATTTATGTGGTAATGGGCAAATTATCAGAAGAATAGTTGAGTACAGAGAAGGAGTAATATGATGGAATGAAACTGGAAGGTATGCAAATTGGAGTAGGGATAAACAGGCAGGGAATAAATTGGCCTTGGACTGAAAAGAAGGTATACCATTTCCTAAACGTGTGTCTCATACATTTTCAAATGTATGGCTATGTTGGGGAAGCTTAATGGCCCCATGAACTTGGAAACTCTTTGTATTTGTTGGCTGATAGGGTACAGTATCTTCTGGAAAAAGACTTGGGTGGAAAATACTAGTTTTATTATTTACTCACTGGTATAATTTTGCAGTTTGTTTTGGTTTCTTCCCCGCCTCGGGGCGGGTTGGAGTCTTGCTCTGTTGCCTAGGCTGGAGTGCAGTGATGGGATCTTGGTTCACTACAACCTCTGCCTTCCAGGTTCAAGCAGTTCTCCTGCCTTAGCTTCCCAAGTAGCTGGAATTACAGGTGCTTGCCACCATGCCTGGCTAATTTCTTTTTTTAAATTTTATTTTAGTAGAGACAGGGTTTCTTGTGTTGCCCAGGGTAGTCTTGAACTCCTGAGCTCAGGCAGTCTGCCCACTGTGGCTTCCCAAAGTGCTAGAATTACAAGTGTGAGCCCACCACACCCAGCCTGTTTTAGTTTCTTTATCCATACATGGTGAATGAAGCCAGGTAGTCTGGAGTGTTGCACCAGCAGCTTTCCATGTAATCTAGTGACGTATTAGAAGGAACATACTATCACAAGAAGATCTTAAGGAATAATTTGTTTCCCTGTATTACAAGGTTGGGGTTTTAATATTCCAAAGAAAGCTCAAAATGATCTTTGTTCTTAGTGACATGCATTTAGCTAAAACTGGACATTCAAATCTTGATCAGTCCATTGTTATTATAGACTGTTAATAGTCCCTTCTCCTGCCTTACTAGAAAGGGAAAGTAGCCTCTTTTAATTTAGTAGGTGATAGATTTAGACATACTGGCTAACTCTAAACACAGTACACAGAAACAGTATGCTTACTCTGGATTCTATTTGGGTACCAGTAGGTTAGATCTGTAATTTTGAATTATGGTCCACAGAGCAGCGTCAGTGAAAAGTAGAGAAGCCAGTCATTTGGGGATTTGGTTCTTTTCCTCTGTAAACCTAGGATAATTTTATTTTTATCTGGTCTAGATATTAGAGTTCCCTGTGAGATTTTTAATGAAAAATTCCTTGGTAGATCAACATGAAGATACAGTGGTATGATTGGCCAAAGATGTTTGAAATATTATCATAAGGTTTTGTTACCTAATTGTTTATTTCAGTAATCAGTCATATTTCAGATGATGTCTCCATATGTATTTTTGCTTTAAAAGTTTTTTGGGGTTTTTTAAGACATGTGGTCTTAAATGTTGGCCAGGCTGAAGTGCCATAGCTGTTCACTGGCAACGATCCCACACTGAGTAGGCTTTAAGAGTTAATACATTTCATTTAGGTTCCATTTTATTGCTAACCTGTGTATTTGAATTGTGGTCTTTCAAACAGAATTCAAAGAAGCTTTTTCACTATTTGACAAAGATGGTGATGGAACTATAACAACAAAGGAATTGGGAACTGTAATGAGGTCTCTTGGGCAGAATCCCACAGAAGCAGAGTTACAGGACATGATTAATGAAGTAGATGCTGATGGTAAGTCTTTAATTTTGGGGGGAGGGAGGAGATGAAGAAATGATAATGATACTCTGTTTTGATGTTTCAACTAAACCATTTCAGGTAATGGCACAATTGACTTTCCTGAATTTCTGACAATGATGGCGAGAAAAATGAAAGACACAGACAGTGAAGAAGAAATTAGAGAAGCATTCCGTGTGTTTGATAAGGTAGGTCAAAGACTGGATATGTCAGATTTTGAGATGAAATGATGATACCAGGATTTATTATGAAGGCTTTTCTGATGATTTACCAACATACCTTAATCATCAAGCAAAAGGTTTTTACGAATTCAGTATAGATTTTCTAATATATGTATTGCATTAATCTTATCAAATGAAGTGTCACTTGACTTTGGGACTAGAAAATAGTGATTTCAGAATAGGACATTTTGCTTGGCACTTAATGACATTTGTAGGTCAACTACGTAGATTCGTATGCATTTCTAAAGTGTGTTTTTCCCCCTAATGTGACATTTGTTAGTAAACTTACTGAATTTCCATTCCAACTCTTTAAGTCTGTAATTTTACTTAGAAACTATACTAAATTTTTTTCTAGGATGGCAATGGCTATATTAGTGCTGCAGAACTTCGCCATGTGATGACAAACCTTGGAGAGAAATTAACAGATGAAGAAGTTGATGAAATGATAAGGGAAGCAGATATTGATGGTGATGGTCAAGTAAACTATGAAGGTAAATCTTTCAGTCTCTCCACATTCTTCACTTTTTTAAGTTAGAGTGGTGCTTGTTAAGTATCTGATCAGAATTGGTGACCCTTCCCCCCCAAATTAGGATGCTAAAACAGTTACTTATATTTAACATTTTGTTAATTCAGCGTGTTGTCTGCAGACAAGGCAACATTGCTCTCACCTGAGAACTTAATTTAGAAATACTTACCATCAGGTTCTACTCCTGCACCTGGAATCGGCATTTTAAGATTCTTGGGTGATTCATATGTAAAGTGAGAAGCACTGTACAATTTTTATTTCGGATTGTCGAACAATGTGGAAAGCACACTTATTCTGAGTTTTCCAAAATGAAATTAATGTGACTTTCTTTTCCCCCACTGTATTATCTTTTTTCTCTAATTGGCTTTAGTCTGAAACTAAAGTTTACATGTGCTTCAAAAGTATCATAACTGACTGTTAACTTTGAGATGGCCATATCATGAAGCAAGGCATTTAGAAATGGAAGGATTTTCAGTAAAACTTTGTATTTTTTCATGATGTCACTACTTAGAAAACAGCATAAAATTCAGTATTATAAAAATTAAACCTAATCCATTGCACTGAATTTACAATATTTACTTGTAACCCAGCAGTATTCAAGTCTAAACTAAAAGCCAAGAATGCCCTTTTTATATTAGCTTATCTAGAGCATTAATTTGGCTCTTCGTAATAATCCTGCATAGTTAAGATGGTTAATGAAGTTCCAGCCTGGGCAATAAACCAGCTTTCCTCTGTACTTCATTCTGAGGAAGGAGAAAGAGGAATGGAAAGAATATTCAGTGGTTGAGTAAATGTGATTTTTTAAAAATCAGTCTTTTGCTATTGACTCAAATTTTTATGTACTTCTTCTTTTTCAGAGTTTGTACAAATGATGACAGCAAAGTGAAGACCTTGTACAGAATGTGTTAAATTTCTTGTACAAAATTGTTTATTTGCCTTTTCTTTGTTTGTAACTTATCTGTAAAAGGTTTCTCCCTACTGTCAAAAAAATATGCATGTATAGTAATTAGGATTTCATTCCTCCATGTTTTCTTCCCTTATCTTACTGTCATTGTCTTGAAACCTTATTTTAGAAAATTGATCAAGTAACATGTTGCATGTGGCTTACTCTGGATATATCTAAGCCCTTCTGCACATCTGAAGTTAGATGGAGTTGGTCAAATGAGGGAACATCTGGGTTATGCCTTTTTTTAAAGTAGTTTTCTTTAGGAACTGTCAGCATGTTGTTGTTGAAGTGTGGAGTTGTAACTCTGCGTGGACTATGGACAGTCAATAATATGTACTTAAAAGTTGCACTATTGCAAAACGGGTGTATTATCCAGGTACTCGTACACTATTTTTTTGTACTGCTGGTCCTGTACCAGAAACCTTTTATTGTTACTTGCTTTTTAAACTTTGTTTTAGCCACTTAAAGAAAATCTGCTTATGGCACAATTTGCCTCAAATCCATTCCAAGTTGTATATTTGTTTTCCAATAAAAAAATTACAACTTACCCAATGGTTGCTCTGCATCTGAGTCATTTAACTGTTTAATGATTCTGAAAATAAAATATGGTGTTGGTTTCTGCTTGGTATAATACAGATAATTTTTCTCGTGTGGGGGAAGAGCAGTAGAGATGGGTGGCAGAAATAGTGAAGGTAGGAAAGGAAGAAGAAAAGGATTGGAAAAGTGAGAAAAGAGGGAGAGAAGCACAGAAAAGAGGAACAAAATAAGGGGTATAACAGACTGAGGAGGAAAACCAAAAAGATGGGGATCTGTGGGGCTGCCATCATGCTAGCCCACAGGATCCACCACCACCGTGCCTGTCATATTGTGCTACTCTGTTAAGCCCAGAACGCCTGTGGGTTCCCTCTGTGCCCAAAGAACAAGATGGTGGCAGTTATGGGAAAATAGGCCACGTTTTCTGTTTTGTATCCAGATTGTATTTAAGTGACCACTTCCTTCAAAAGGTATAAATGAAAAACTCAAAAACTTAAGTGTACCTAGCATGGGAATTGTCATAAAGTTAGGTATTTACTGTTTCCTACCTTTATATTTTTCAACTTTGGCATTTGTCCATGTTGACTTAGGTTGTGCAATGATGTTTTAAATAATTTGCATGTTAAAAAAAAACACTTTAGTTGGGGTGAGCATCCTATAGTTCTATTAGCTAACATTCATTGTGCTTTTTAATTCTGTAAGACGAGAATTTTAGCTTGCCCATCTGCAACATTTTACAAAAAAGATGTCCTTAGGAGCAAATTGGTAGTGACTGCACCTTGTTTTAGCTTTTGCTGGCTTCTATCATTGCTTTCTCTATAATTTGAGCTACTCCAAAGGTGGTTATCAGGGTTTTTGTTTTTTTAAATTACGTTTTAAATACTTAATGAAAGATATCCATAGCAAAGCAGAGCCAAGATTAAAACATTGATTATAATTGTTACCTGGTTCTTACAGCCACAAGGTCTTTAATTTCCCAGGAGTAATTCATTATCTGGCAGGTTACTGCCCCCCCCCCCCCCGTTTTTGACTATTTTAATACTATTCTATTGGAAAACTGGATGGTTAGTGAAGGAAGAGTGGTTAGTATGTTTTAGAGCAAGGGGAATTACAGGTGTTGATAATCCTAATGGTATCACATACTCAGGGTAATCAGTTAAATAGGAATATTTTAGGTGTGCATTCTAATTCCCTTAATTGGATGTATTAAGTTTTGTCAAAAGGAAATCAAGGTTTGTTTTTTGTAGAGACAAGGACTCACTATGTTGCCCAGGTTGGTCTTGAACTCCAGGGCTCAAGTGATCATCTCACCTCAGCTTCCCAAAGTGCTGGGATTAGGAGCAGGGCTTTTTAAAAAGTTAAGTGAAATAATGAAAGCAAGGCATTTAGCATTGTCTTTGGCATTTGCATTAAGTGCTCAGTTAACTATGCTATGAAACCAGTTATGACCCCGAAAAATGAGGGAATTGGGCAGTTGATTGGTGTTTTTCCAGTATCAACAATGAGGTTTATATAAATTGATATCAAGAACAACAAAGGTAGAAGGAGAAGCATTTTTTGGGCTCTTGGTATGTCATAATTGGTCACAATTTCTCTCGAAATCTTTACAAAAGTCACAAAGTCTTGGCATCTTGATTTTACAGGAAACAAGTGTATAACCATTATATAATTTAACTGGTCATAATGAGCTGGGTTCAAATTTCAGTTCCAATGCTTCTACAACATAATCATATTTGAGCCCGAGACTGTGATATCAGCTTCAATGTCTTTGTTTTTCCTTTTTCTTTTTGAGACGAGTCTTGGCACTGTTGCTTGGGCTGGAGTGCAGTGGCGTGATCTTGAATCACTGCAACCTCTGTCTCCTGGTTTCAAGCAATTCTGCCTCAGCCTCCCACGTAGCTGGGATTAAAGGTAGTGGGTTTAATTACCCACGCTGGGTTAATTTTTTTGTATTTTTAGTGGAGTTGGGGTTTCACGATGTTGGCCAGGCTTGTCTCGAACTCCTGACCTTGTGATCTGCCCACCTCGGCCTCCCAAAGTGCTGGGATTACAGGTGTGAGTCACCGTGCCTGGCCCCACCTTCAAGTCTTAACCAAACTATTAGTGTTATATTAGGATTGTGGTAATTGTACCAACCATGATACCGTCTGTGGCTTGTTTGCTCTCAGATGACTCTCCCAATAAACCATCACTATTGCAGTTAAATATCACCCTTGGTGTAAGATATTTTCCTAAAATTTTTAGAAGACAGTAACAATTTTAAAATCTGATATATAACAGAGGCACTGTTGAGCTCTGTTAGAGATTTGTATTCTCACAAGAAATGCTTCTGCCCCTCTTTGAAAAACCTTATGATAATCAGGAAATAAATCTTAGTGATACTATATAAGACAATGTTTTCTTAAAAGAACATTTGTTTATCCTACATGCTTAATCTGCTTTATGGATAGTCCTTGAAGTCATTGACCCATGTTTCTATTTTTGAGATACTTAAACTATTTTCTCATCTAGATGTTCCCATCTCTAATGTCACACCTTGTATGGGTTTCTGGACTTCTCTGTACTTTTCATATTCTTTTAGTCTCTAGGGTATCAGTCCCTAGTCTGCTGAGCCAGTTTTACAGGCTCAGCCAAAATAAGAAAATGAAATGAGGCACAGGGAACAGACTTGATTAATCTCTTAACATTTGTGAGAACTTTGGTATTTACTTGCCTCTTCACTTTCTAATTTCAGTTGTTCATTTTAAACCCAGTACCTGGGTTTTTTTTTTGTTGTTGTTGTTGTTTTTTAAGGCTATGTGAAATGAATTTAGAATCCCAGTATTTTAAGGAACTAGATGAAGTCCTTTAGTCACTTGCTCCTCAAAAAGTAACTCAGAATCACCTAGGAACTTGTTGGAAACGCAGAATCTTAGGCTCTGCCTCAGAATTGGAATCAATCTGCTTTTTAACAAGATCATCAGATGTTTTGTATGCATTTTAATTTTTGTAAAGCACTGCTGTAATCTTCTCTGGTTTACTTAGAGGGGAAAACCAGTCAGTGGTTTATTCAACAAATATTTTAGTCCTTGTGTTCGAATGGCTCAATTAAAAAACAACCTTGTGTTTTGGGTATGTTTAAAATTAGAGAAACAATTTGTCATAATGTGAATCTTCCAGCAGTGATAGGCACAGGGTCCTTTGGGACTTGGTGGATTAGGATTAGAGGTCTACTCAGAGGAGTTGACCCTTGAGATTTTCCAGGTGGTCAAAGAAAGGAATAGCATTTCATGCAGAAGGGCTAACATATGTGGAGACAGATAGAATTGCAAGCATGATACAGCAGAGCATGCCATTTTCATAACGGAGAGAAGTGGCCGGGCGCCGTGGCTCACACCTGTAATCCCAATACCTTGGGAGGCCGAGGCAGGAGGATCATGAGGTCAGGAGTTTGAGACCAGCCTGGCCAATATGGTGAAACCCCCATCTCTACTAAAAATACAAAATTAGCTAGGCGTGGTGGTGCACACCTGTAGTCGCAACTACTCCGGAAGCTGAGGCAGAAGAATTGCTTGAACCTGGGAGGTGGAGGTTGCAGTGAGCTAAGATTGTGCCACTGCACTCCAGAAGTGAGAGATTGGATTGTAAATGTTGCTTTTTTTGTTCAGCTCACACTGACTGCATTGTGCCAGATATGGTTCTGAATTTCAAGTTAATCTTTATAACCTATGTAGGTGGGTACCAATTTTATTATCCCCTTCTATATAGATGAGGAAAGAAGCAGAGTAAGTCAGCATATGCAACCAGCGTCCAAGTCCTGGTAGTCAGGGAGGAGAGTGATTCAAGAATGGGGGAATAATCAATGCAGCAATGAAAATTGAAGGCCAAGTTTGATAAGAGCTGAAAATCCCCATTGGATTTGGCAGTTGGATCACTGGTGAGTTTAAGTGCAATTTTAATTGAAAGCTGTGTGCAGGCCAGATTAAGAAGGTTTTAGGAAAGTATATGGGAAGTGAGAAAAGAATTGAGTTCATATCACTCTTGAAAGTTAGTAAAGGGAAGCAGAAGCTTCATGGTGTAGGGCAGTGGAGCTGTAGAGTCAGGTTTGGATTTTAATTCTCACAATGCCACTTGTGTGTGATGCTGAGTGAACTGTGCTAAACATCCAAGGAAACCTTGTTTCGTCATCCAGAAAATGGGACTAATACCTACTTTGTAGAGTTGGTGTGAAGATTAAATGAGACTAATGTGTGTGAAGTCCCTGGAATACAGTAGATACTGTATAAAATGAAATTAAGGTAGTGGAGGGTTTGTTTTTAAAGGTTTGTTTAAAGGTTGAGAAGAAGCTACAGCCTAGAGAGGCTGACAGTAAAAAGGGTCTACACTGAGAAGAATGGGGTGGTCTGTGATTTCACAGCTAGTGAAACCTGCTGTGAGTGGTTCTCACTCCACTCTGCAAGTCAGAGGCAAGAGAAGTCAGCCCCAGTATTTCTATTTGGAGGAGCTTAGAAACAATCTTAGAAAGTGGGTGCTAAGGCAGATTGCTGTAAGTATGTCTACCAAGCACCCTGCCTCTCTGCCTGGGGTGTGGGATGTGGGGTGGATTAGAAGGGGACTGATGGAGATTGTGGGTACGCTCAAGCCCTTAACCAGCCTCCCCTTTTGCAGATCCTTACCGAGGGCTCTCTGGCAACTCCAGAGCCCTCTAGATTTTCTTCTCACGTGCATTCATAACTGTCTCTTTTTGAGAGTTTTCCTCTGGGTTGGTCTTCGCGCGGGGCCTCGAAGCGCGAGCCTGCTTTCCTTCCTCCAGCACTAGAGACAAACGTGGCGCTCCAGAGCCCGCGGGCCACACGCGCCTCCTAGCAACCGGACGCCAGGCTCAGCCTAGGGAGAGAGGAGGCCAACCATGGATCAGTCAGCCATCGCCATTGCCTCCCCCACGATAAGAGAAGACCTGGTGGGTGGTAGTGCCTCGGTAAGATCGTCTTCCCCTTCCTGGCCTGGTTCCTGCTCCCTCACCAGGCCCACTGCCCTTTTCCCACCGCTCTCTAATCCCAGGCCTTCGTGCCCCTCCGGTTGCCTCTTCCTACCCTCTCTCTGCCCTCACGTACTCCACCTGTGGACCTTCCCTCCTGGTCTTTATTGGGTATTCTGTTTATTTCTTTTCCCCTTGCTGCTTCCCTTATCCTTCCCCTTCGCCCTTTGTTTTTGGTATTTTTCCCTTCTTCCCATTACTAAGTAAACTGGGCAACTGCTTTAGTATGGTGATTGGATTTCTTGCCCTTTCCCCTCCATCTGCCGGAAGCCTGGGCTTTTACTTGTAGTCTTACTAGACACGTTTTGCTCTGCCTCTTTAGTATTTATAAAAATATTTGAAGCTATCTTTGCTACGGTTTTCTTTTAGAATCTCGCTCTGTTACCCAGGCTAGAGTGCAGCGGCGTTGACCTCTGCTCACTGCAACCTCCGCTTCTCGGGTTCAAGGGATTCTCTTGCCTCAGCCTCCCGAGTAGCTGGGATTACAGGCATGCGCCGCCATGCCTGGCCTTTGTTACGTTTTAAAATAAATGTGGGTGAGGGCTGTTTGGCCTAATCTTTTATCTTTCCCCTTAGAGTGAATTTAAAATAGTAGTTAGGTGGAGTTTAGATCACCTGTCTTGGGCCAAACAAAACAGCAGCTGCCAATTGTCTTCCATTAGATTGATCTTGTTTACTTCTTCCTATCTCATTTTCCTTTTTCTGGGGTAGGGGTAGGAGGCCTGTGTTGACCTGCCTGAGAAGGTTCTATTTCTGTGACTATAAATGTGCAACAGAGAAGATTCAAAATAAATCTGACGATGAAGCAACAAGGGAGAAGCTCAGCCTTAGCAGGGTGCATGAGACAGTGTTATTTAGAGAAATGCACATATTTCATAGTAAAATAAAGCCCAGTAGTACATTCTAAGTAAAGTAGATTTAAGTTACTAGACAGGAAGAATGAATTATATCAGTTTTACTGATTAGATTATTACTTTTATTGCGGTCTTGCTTGATGACCTATATTTTATAATAATAAAGGCCTTATAAAGGAAAGTAGAAGTCAACATTTTAATGATTTTACCTAGGACAAACAAAAGGAAAATATTAAACACTTGTGTTTTATAGACAGTGTGCTAAAATAAATATGAAATAATAACGGGGCCGGGCGCGGTGGCTCACACCTGTAATCTAAGTACTTTGGGGCTGAGGTGGGTGGATTACAAGGTCAGGAGTTCGAGACAAGCCTGGCCAAAATGGTGAAACCCTGTCTTTAAAAAAAAATAAAATAAATAATGGATACATGGGTATAGAGTACTAAATATGAAGACAAGAGATTCCTTGGAAACTGAAAAACCAAAATAATTTGCTTCTTAACTTGACAGATGAGATGTTAAAAATTAAGCTACTGGCGGGGTGCCGTGGCTCATGTCTGTAATCCCAGCACTTTGGGAATTTGAGGTGGGCAGATCACCTGAGGTCAGGAGTTCAAGACCAGCCTGACCAACATGGAGAAACCCTGTCTCTAATAAAAATACAAAATTAGTGGGCTTGGTGGTACCTGCCTATAATCCCAGCTACTCGGGAGGCTGAGGCAGGAGAATCGCTTGAACCCAGGAGGCAAAGGCTGCAGTGAGCCAAGATTACACCATTGCACTCTAGCCTGGGCAATAAGAGCGAAACTCTATCTCAAAAAAATAACTAAAGCTACCATTTATTGAGCACTGATTGTAGATGCAAATCTTTATATGTACAATGTCTTATTATTTTCTCCTTTTGGTGGCTTCTTACTTTGTCACCCAGGCTGGAGTGCGGTGGCGCAATCTCGGTGCACTACAACCTCCACCTGCTGAGTTAAAGCAACTCTCATGCCTCAGCCTCCTGAGTAGGGATTACAGCTTCCTGTGTAGGGATTACAGGTGTGTGCCACTATACCCGGCCAATTTTTTTGTATTTTTAGTAGAGACAGGGTTTCATCATGTTGGCCAGGCTGGTCTCAAACTCCTGGGCTCAAGTGATCCACCTAACTTGGCCTCCCAAAGTGCTGGGATTACAGGCGTGAGCCACCATGCCTGACATACAATGCTTTATTCTCATGCCAACTCTGATAACACCTTATTTTTATACTCCTGTGAGGAAGCATGAGGGTTGAATAACTCACTCAGTGGACCTAGCTGGTAAGCGGCAGAGCTGGATTTCAGCCTAAGTCTATCTGGCTTCAAGCCCAACTCTTTTCTTCCTAAGAACACCACATTTTGTCACATCTAATATACTTACAACATCTCTGTGAGATGGGGATGTTTATTACTCTAATTTTATCTTTTATTTCATTTTTATTATAATTTTTTTTACCACCACTAGTCAGTAGGAAAATTACTCTCATCAAAGGGAATTTAGTTATTTGAAAGCACTTAAGATCATAAAATAGCAATTTAAGGAAATATGGGCAAAATGTATCATTATGTAGCTTTTATTTTAATAATGGCTTATCAGTTGGGTATGGGTATTAATTTCTTCAAGCAAGTGTTTTGTAAATTATATTTAATTTCAAGGGATCACCTCTCAAATGAATAAGCATACTTCGTGTTTGTTTACAGAAACCAGATCGAAAGACTTCCTCTTTTGAAAGAGAAGGATGGTGGAGAATAGCATTAACAGTATGTACATTATTCAGTCTTTCCTATTCACATTATTCCTATTCCATTAATATTTTAATCAGTTATACCTTTTAAGACTAACACTTAATAGTAAGAAAACAGTGATTGTTCAGATCTGCATGGACCTCATTTCATACTTAGAAGTTTAGTATCAGCATATGAATGAGAAACTAGTTTTTAATTGTGAATGCAATAGAAGCTTGGGAAAGTTAAACAACTCTAGAAATCTGGGTACTTTACAGACTATCTAGATAAGGCTAACCTATGATCTTACGATCTGGGGGAGACTGCACAACAAAAAAAAGCATACATTCTGGAAAGGTGTTTTGGTTTCAGTTTTTCTCTTATATGGTATAGACCTTATGCAGATGGTTCTTAATATGGCCAATATATGAAAGCAAAATGGTAATATGTGGAAGAAAAATGACGAGAAGCTCCCCTCCGGAGAGTTTCTATAATACAGACATATTTTCTATCAATGCCTTTCAATAATAGAGGAACTTCATGAGTCAAAGCCTCTTGGAATTGAAGTAATTTTAATGGTAGAACTGAGCTGAGTGCTCAGCGAAAAGATGGCCACAAAAGTAGCAATGACCAAACCTTCAGTTCTGGCCATTCAGCCACACTGGTTGTAATTTGCAAGTGCTAGACCTTTACTGGACTAACTAGAGCATATGCTCTGCCAGTTTATCCTGGTCTCATGTTGTTATCCCACTTGAGGACTAGAGAGAAACATAGTATTAGCTAAGCAGAAGTAGGATAGCTTCTAAGTTAGTCAAGAAACATTTTTCTTCCATATATTAGAGGCCTGAAATTCATAGTCAAGGTTGAATCCCAAAGTTGAATCACTGAATTTGCCTTTTAAAAAGTTAAATTTCAACTCTAACCCATTTGCTATAATTCAGCAATTGTTTCAGAAAGAAAATAGTCATGATTTTGAAAGACTCTTCTGTCCAGAGTGTTTACTGTATTTGAGATAATTGTATTGAACTTGAAAACAAAGGGAAATGTTACTTGGGATCTTCCCATACAAGAAAGGTGTTTTAGGAGAAGTTACATGTTTATACAATGATGTTAAAACTGATGTCAATTTTCCACAGAATACTCCTATACCTGGCACTTACCACTTGAAAACTTTTATTGAAGAATCCCTATTAAATCCAGTGATAACAACCTACAATTTTAAAAATGAAGGAAGGAAAAAGCCACCTCTTGTGCAAAGAAACAATCCAGTTCTAAATGATCTTCCGTACTATATGCCTCCTGACTTCCTGGACCTGTTAAAGAAGGAAGTGGCTACTTACTCATTCAAAGACAAACCACGGCCAAGCCCCAGCACACTAGTTGACAAAGATCAGGTAAAGCCCTACTAACAGATTGCTTTGTGTGGGAAAGCTACTAAGAGCCCCTGAGGAAAGTATTCTTTATACAGAGAGTGTATCTTCCCCCATGAGAAATGGAAAACCTTTAAGATGTCTTATTTCCTATAGAAATCAAACAAGGACTGCCTGATTTGCAAATGCGTCCAGTAAGATTTTTCCCTGTAATGTCTTCTTAACCTAAGGCGAGTACATGGGGAGAAATTTTTCCCTCTTGAGCAACTCTTAGCAGGATTCCCCTAGCCTGGGGAGCCCCTGGGATCTTATCTGTCATTGGGCCATGCTCTGGTCTCTTTAAGCAGTTTATGTGGTGAACCCTCTTCTTAAAGAGAAAACCCTGACTCTCAGTGAGTTATTAGAGCATAAATATAACTACATACCACAGGGAAGCTTTTAAAAACTTTCCTTTTCTTTTTTGAGATGGAGTTTCGCTTTTGTTACCAGGCTGGAGTGCAATGGCGCGATCTCAGCTCACCACAACCTCCGCCTCTTGGGTTCAGGCAATTCTCCTGCCTCAGCCTCCTGAATAGCTGGGATTACAGGCACGCACCACCGTGCCCAGCTAATTTTTTGTATTTTTAGTAGAGACGGGTTTCACCATATTGACCAGGATGGTCTCTATCTCTTGACCTTGTGATCCACCCGCCTCGGCCTCCCAAAGTGCTGGGATTACAGGCTTGAGCCACCGCGCCTGGCAAAAAAACTTTTCTTATAGAAATGACCCCATCTCTACAAAAAATAAATAGCTGGGTGTAGTAGCATATGCCTGTGGTTCCAACTACTCTGGAGGCTGAGGCAGGAGGATCGCTTGAGTCCATGAGTTTGAGACCAGCCTGGGCAATATAACAAGACTCCGTCTCTTTAAAAAAAAAAAAATTAGCTACTTGGGAAGCCAGGGCAGGAGGATCCCTTGAGCCTGGGAGTTTGAGGCTGCTGTGAGCTAGGATTATGCTACTGCAATCCAGCCTGGGTGACAGAGTGAGATGCTGTCTCTAAAAATATTTTTTTTAATTAAAAAAAAGAAAAGAAGTGAGCACGTGGTCCCAGGAGGGTCAGCTTCTACTCTCAGTTCCACCAGTTCATTCACAGCAGTGACAATAAAGAGGACTAGTGTGCTCCAGCCCTGCACTAGGCTCTGTGGAAGGAAGATGTTCCTGACCCAGAGGTATTTAAGCCAACAATACAAGATAGAGTTTATCAAGTGCTCAGATAAATAGTGAAACTGAAAATGCCAAAGGAGAGTTCAAGTAGGATGGATTAAAAGGCTGGAAAGCTCAGTGGCTTAAGTAGGACTTAACTGCACCTTCACTAAAACATGTCTTTTACGTGGCTCTTAGTGGTTTACTATGGGCTTCCATGTATATTCTCTTAGTTGCTTCCTTCTTAAGCATTCTGAAATAGGTAGAACACATTATTAACTCCATTTTACTTGCAAGAAAACCAAGGTGAGTAGAGACTAAGTAACTTGTCCAAAGGCACATTTCTAATACTTAAGCAGGTGAAGCAGCACTTTTAACTGAGGGCTTCTGCACCAAAATTTAGTCCTCTTTCCACGTGCCCCTCACCTTGAATAAGGAGCAGGGTTTCGACTGATGGAATCCTGATGAGGGAGGAGTACAGCACTGTTGAAAGCATGGAAATGGCAGGAACATGGTCTGTTCAAGGGATAGCGTTCAAGGGATAGTTGGACTTTGTTACTTGAAACTTTGGGTACTAGTCTCAGGTCTTTGTACATTAATATTTCCCATTTATAAAGAAGCTAATAATAGTATCATATCTTCATAACTTCATCATAATATTATTGTGATAACCTGAGAGAAATGTGTTGCAGCTGGAGGTTGAATTAAGTACAAGGGGTTGTAATTACTAAAGTGGACACGAAATTTTCAACAGGATGAACACGTCAAACCCAACATGTAGACCTTTCTACTACTTTGCACATTATAGCTTTGAAACAGAACAGAATGATAAATGTTCATTGGGTAAATCTTATTCTGTTCGCTTCAGTGGAGGCATACAAACTCTAAATTATACTAGCATGTTTATGGCTTGCTATCAGGTAACCAGGCTACGTGTGAAATTGTTCTGGCCATCTCAAATGCAGTCTTTATTTCTTATTCTCTTCTGCCTTTTCCTTTTCTGCTTCCTCTCTTCTCGCTTTTATGAGTCCCTGAAAAGCAGCCGAAGGCCCGGTGTTGAAAGGAGAAAACGTACAAGGTTGGAGTTAAATGTACAAGGTTAAGAGTTTTAAAAGACCAAAAGAATCTGGCTTACTCAAGAGGATGGATAAAACCTTCTGAAAACATAGTTTTCCTGTTCTTCTTTCCTCTCTACCTCCCACAAAGGATTAAACTCCACAAACTGGAAAAATTCAGTATTTTTCTAATTTTCTATTTCAAAGATATATATGTTCACGAGGGGAAAGATACTCAGATGTAACATTGTTTACTAACCAGTACAATTCATAATTCCAATATTTTAGTAGCAGAACTCAGTAGAATAATTTGAATTTGGGGTAGATAGCACATGTATTATTGTTATTCATTAAGCTAGAACAGCATTCTCAAACTTCTTAATTTTTCAAGGAATATCCATTTTGTATCTTTCAGTGGCTGCTTTTTATTTGTAATAGTTTTCACCATTTTTAATACCTTTATTCTGAAGCATGTAACTCAACTCAAGAATCTATATTGAAGAGCCTTTTTTTTTTCAACTTCTATTTTAGATTCAGGGTCTACATGTGTGTATTTTTTACCCGTGTGTATTCCATAATGCTGATTGGGGTACGATTGATGCCATCACCCAAGTTCTGAGCATAGTACCCAATGGTTAGTTTCTCTATCCTTTCACCCCTAGTGAAGAGTGTTATTAGTCTTATTAGTCTTACGGGATTATAGGTATGAGCCAAGTGCAGTGGCTTACGCCTATAATCCCAGCACTTTGGGAGGATAAGGCAGGTGGATCACTTAAGGCCAGGAGTTCGAAACCAGCCTGGCCAACATGGTGAAACCCTATTGCTACTATAAAAATATAAAAATTAGCTGGGCATCTTGGCACAGATTTGTAATCCCAGCTACTTGGGAGACTGAGGCATGCGAATTGCTTGAACCAGGAGGTGGAGGCTACAGTGAGTCAAGATTGTGCCACTGCCCTCCAGCCTAAGCGACAGAGCAAGACCCTGTCTCAAAAAAAAAAGGAATGTGTGTATATATATATATATGTATTTGAATGTGTGTATGTGTGTGTGTGTGTGCATACATATGCTTATATATATTTGCCCCTTTCCAAAGAATATTTTAGGTGGCCCCCTAATTTTTCTAATAACCTTTTTCTTAACATATAAATAGTATATCCTCATTGTAGAATATATGTACACAAATGGGACCACCTCTCTCCACACGTACAGTTTTATGACCTACTTTTTCCCCTAGTGTTGTAGTCCTCCACTGACCCCTGAGTTACTCCCCTTACTCCTTGATATTAGCCCCCTTCCTTCACTGTCACTCTTTTCACTGCTTATAATTTCAGCACACACACAGATGATCTTCCAACAACTTGGCTTCTCAGTTTCTTGAACTTTCCTCTACCTCAGCCACTTACTCCTTAGATGTTTTTCAAGACCAAGAATTTCCGTTCTCTGCAATCTCTACAAGAATTCCCCTCTCTGACTAATATCCAATCCTAACAATTTTTCCATTTCCCGCAGGCTATAATCCCACTCTATTGATTCTCCCACCTTTTCACTACCTCTCAACACCTGTCTTCCTTGCAAAGCTCCAATCCCATAGTTAATCATTATAGTTACTCCCTGCATACACTGTCAGTTCCCTTGCCCCTAACTTGTCATCTTTTACTTGTTTGGCAAAGCCACAAACCTGGGTATGTCTCTCTTTGTATTAATATCTGCATCCATGTAGCTGGATGACTGGTCTCATGCTAAATTCTCTACCTCTAATGGCACTGAATGGACTTCTCTAGTCCATTTACTTTCCCACTCTCTTGGGTGGTTTTATCTTGTATACATCCTTTCTGTATTTATTTTATTTATTTATTTATTTATTTTAGACACTCTGTCACCAAGGCTACAGTACAGTGGCACAATCACTGCACTCCACCCTGGGCAACAGAGTAAGACTTTGTCTCTAAATAAATAAAAATAAGATGTGATCAGGCCAGGTACAGTGGCTCACACCTGTAATCCCAGCACTCTGGGAGGCTGAGATGGGAGGATTGCTTGAGCCCAGGAATTCAAGACCAGCCTGGGCAACATAGTGAGATTCTGTCTCTATAAAACAAAATCTCTACCAAAAAAATTTCTACCAAAAAAAAAAAAAATCTCTGCTGGGGTTACAGATGTGTGCAGTGGCATACACCTGTAGTCTCAGCTACTTGGGATGTGGAAGTGGGAGGATCACCTGAGCCCAGGAGTTTGAGGCTGCAATGAGTTATGTTCACGCCATTGCACTCTACCCTGGATGATAGAGACCTATTTCAAAAAGAGAAAAAATGTGGCCGGGCACAATGGCTCATACCTGTAATCCCAGCACTTTGGGAGACTGAGGCATTGGATCATTTCAGGCTAGGAGTTCGAGACCAGCATGGCCAACATGGTGAAACCGCTTCTTTACTAAAAATAAAAAAATTAGTGTGTGTGCTAGTGCACACCTGTAATCCCAGCTACTCAGGAGGCTGAGGCAGAGTATCACTTGAACTGGGGAGGTGGAGGCTGCAGTGAGCTGAAGTGGCGCCACTGCATTCCAGCCTGGGTGACAGAGCAAGACTCCATCTCAGAAAAAGAAAAAGATCATATCCGAGTCACGGCACCAAAGTAAATTAATTAATTAATATAAAATGAAATAATTATATTTTAAAAATAAATAAATACATAAGAAAAAGAAAAAAATGTGATCAATTTGACATTTTCCTAGGCAGCATCTCAGGCATGTTGTCTAGAAAATTCACCATGAAGAGTAAATATATGTTAAAATGTTTTGAAGCTTCACCTTTGAAAATGTACCTTTTCCTTTTCCACTATTAAAGAAGGAATTATCCAATATTGTATGGTCATAAAATAAAAGATTATGGATGAGAGATAATGAAGTGAGTTTACAACCTCTGTTAACCTGTTGGTGTCCTTGTCCATTCTGTGCAGTCGCTTCAGCTTTCTCCCGGTCAATACAGTGTGCTTCCTGCTCCAGTTCCCAAATATGCTTCCAGGTAACTGTGTACTTATTAAATACACTGCTTTCCATCGTTTTATCATGCCTTTCTGTTTACATACCTACATGCCAATACTGATGGCTCTTAAACTTCATTGATGCACCTCATATGCAGATTAACATTTCAAAATAGTTAATGAAAGATGGAATAATTTTAAAAAGATCTTTAAAAAATACATTCAGAAAATCATTTTTCTTTTTTTTAAATATAGGAGCTGTGCATTTCGTTCATCAGTTCAAAGATTCCCAACAACCTATTTTATTCCCGTAAGTATAATGTAGACAGTTAACTCATGATGAACTTGATGTTTAAAATATGCTCTGCTTTCTGGAATGGAGCAAGATGCCAAAAAGAACCCTCCGGTGATTGTTCCCCCTAGCAGGAACACCAAACTGAACAACTATCCACATAAGAAATCACCTCTATAAGAACCAAAAAGCAGGTTCGGGATCACAATACGACAATGATCATGTTTTGACATTGCATCAGGGAAAGAGGCACTGAAGAGGGTAGGGTAGAAAAGAGTGTTGAATTGCTGACACCACCCTCCCCCATCCCCTGGCAGCAGCCATGTGGCCTGTAGAGAGAATCTGCTCTTGGGGAAGAGGGAATGCAGTGATTGTGGACTTTGTATTGGAACACAGTGCTGCCTGTCATAGGGAAAGCAACACAGGGCAGAATTCAGCTGGTGCCCATGGAGGCAGCATTTAGACCAGCCCTAGACAGACAGGAATTGCCCATCCCAGCCATTAGATACTGAGTTCTAGTTCTCCCCGCCACTGTGGGCTAAAGTGCTCTGAGGTCCTAAATAAGCTTCAAAGGCAGTCTAGGCCACAAGGACTGCAATTCCAAGTTCTGGTGCTGTGCTGGGGTCACAGGCAGTAGACGTAGGGTGCATAAGACCTAGTGAGACACCAGCTGGGGCAGCCAAGGGAGTGCTTGTAGCACCCACCCTCCATCCCTAGGCAGCACAGCTCGCAGCTTCAAGAGAGACTCCTTCCTTTAGCTTGAGAAGAGGAGAGGAGAGAGTAAAGAGGACTTGCCTTGCAATCTGAATACTGGCTCAACCACAGCAGAATAGGGCACCTCAGGCAGAGTCCTGAGGCCCCCATTCCAGGCCCTAGCTCCCAGACAACATTCCTAGACACACCTCAGGCTGGAAGGGAATTCACTGCCTTAAAGAGAAGGACCTAGTTCTGGCAGCATTTATCACCTACTTACTAAAGAACCCCTGGGCTTTGAAGAAACACCAACAGTGGCCAGACAACACTTACTGCAGGCCTTAGCCAGACAGCGCTGTGCTGCTTCCGGTGTGACCCAGCACATTCCCAGCTACAGTGGCCACAGGGAGACTCCTGCTTGAGGAAAGGAGAGGGAAGATTAAAGGGGATTTTGTTTTGCAGCTTGGGTACCAGTTTGGCCACAGTGAAGTAGAGCATCAAATAGGCTCCTGGGGTTCCCAATTCTAGGCCCTGGCTCCTGGATGGCATTTATTGACTCCAGCTGGGCAAGAGGGGAGCCTACTGCCCTGAAGGGAGAGACCCAGGCCTGGCAGCATTCCCCACAAGCTGGCTGAAGAGCTCTTGGACCTTGAGTGAACGATAGTGGTATCCAGGCAGTACTTGCTACAGGCCTGGGTGGATGCAGCCATAGAGAGACTCCTGCTTGAGGAAAGGGGAGGGAAGAGTGGGAAGAACTTTTGGGAAAGGACATTCTCTTCAATAAATGGTACAGGGAAAACTGGATATGCACATGCAGAAGAATGAAACTAGACCCATCTCTCTTGCCATTTTACACAAATCAAATCAAAATGGATTAAAGACTTAAATCTTGCCAGGTATGGTGGCTAATGCCTGTAATCCTAGCACTTTGGGAGGCCAAAGCAGGAGGATCCCTTGAGCCCAGGAGTTTGAGACCAGCCTGGGGAACATAGGGAGATTCTGTCTCTAGTTAAAAACAAACAAACAGACAAACAAAAACTTAAATCTAAGATCTCAAACTATGAAAATATCAAAACAAAACACTGAGGAAACTCCAGGACATAGGTCTGGGTAAAGATTTCTTGAGTAATACCCCACAAGCACAGGCAACCAAAGCAAAAATGGATAAATGGGATCACATCAAGTTAAAAGTTTCTGCATAACAAAGGAAACAACAAAGTGAAGAGATGACCCACATAATGGGGGACAATATTTGCAAACTATCCATCTGAAAAGGATTAATAACTAGAATATATACAGAGCTTTTACAACTCAATAGGAAAAAGATCTTTTTTTTTTTTTTGAGATGGGGTCTTCTTTTTCACCCAGGCTGAAGTGCAGTGATGCAAACATAGCTCACTGCAGCCTCGACCTCCCTGGTACAAGCAACCCTTCCCCTTCAGCCCCCCAAGTAGCTGAGATTACAGGTACATGCCACCACACCCAGCAAATTTTTGTATTTTTTGCAGAGATGGGGTCTTGCCATGTTGCCCAGGCTGGTCTTGTGCTCCTGAGCTCAAGCCATCTGCCCACCTTGGCTTCCCAAAGTGCTGGAATTACGGGCATGAGCCACTGTGCCCAACCTCAATAGGAAAAAATCTAATAATTTGTTTAAAAAATAGGCTAAATATCTGAATAGACACTTCTCAAAAGAAGACATACAGATGGCTAACAGGTGTATAAAACGGTGCTCAACATCATTAATCATCAGAGAAATGCAAATCAAAACTACAATGAGATATCATTGCATCCCAGTTTAAATGGCTTATACCCAAAATACAGGCAATAGTGAATGTTGGCGAGAATGTGGAGAAAAGGGAACCCTTGTACACTGTTGGTGGGAATGTAAATAAGTACAACCACCAGGAAGGACAGTACAAAAGTTCCTCAAGAAAGTAAACATAGAGCTACCATATGATCCAGCAATCTCACTGCTGGGTATATACCCAAATGAAAAGAAATCAGTATATTGAAGAGGTATCTGCACTCCCATGTTTGTTGTAGCACACTGTTCACAATACCCAGGATTTGGAACCAACCTTAGTGTCCATTAGCAGATGAATGGATAAAGAAAATGTGGTACATATATGCAATGGAGTACCACACAGCCATCAAAAGAATGAGGTCCTGCTATTTGCAACAACATGGACAGAACTGGAGGTCTTTATGTTAAGTGAAATAAGCCATGTACAGAAAGGCAAACTTTGCATGTTCTCATGTATTTGTAGGAGCTAAAAATTATTAATTGAAATCATGCAGATAGAGAGTAGAAGGATGGATACCAGAAACTAGGAAGGGTAGAGGAGGAGGGGGAAGGGGGAAGTGGAGATGTAACCACAAAGATAAAGTTAGATAGTATGAATAAGATCTAGTATTTGATAGCACAACAGAGTGATTACAGTCAACAGTAATTTATTGTACATTTTTAAATTGGCTGGGCATGGTGGCTCACACCTGTAATCCCAGCACTTTGGGAGGCTGAGGCAGGTGGATCACTTGAGGTCAGGAGTTCAAGACCAGCCTAGCCAACATGGTGAGATCCCATATTTGCTAAAAATATAAAAATCAGCCAGGTGTGGTGGTGGGTGCCTGTAATCCCAGCTACTCAGGAGTCTGAGGCAAGATAATTGCTTCAACCTGGGAAGCAGAGGTTGCAGTGAGCTGAGATTGTGCCACTGCACTCCAGCCTGGGCAAGAGTGAAATTCCATCTCAAAAATAAATAAATAAAATAAAATAAAAATAAGAGTGTAATTGGCATGTTTGTAACACAAAGAAATGATAAATGCTTGAGGTGATGGATACTCCATTTACCCTGATGTAATTATTACACATTGTATGCCTGTTATCAAAATATCTCACGTACTCCATAAATATATATACCTACTATGTAGCCATCAAAACTTTTCAAAATATCACTTCTTGGCCTTTTGGCTAAAATCAAGTGTAAAAACTTTTCAAAATAAAATATACTATGAATCCTTTTGCTATAGTAAAATTAACATTTTGCTCGTCATAGTAGATAAGCTCTGAATGATTAATCCAATTGATTTAAGACACACATAAAGTATATCTGAAAATATACCAGAAAGTAGTAACCAATTTGTGGCAACTTGTAGAAGAAAATGTTCATCTCCTTTACTTTCTTTAGATCTTGACTGAAATGCCACTTTCTCAAAAAGGTCTTCCCAAGTCACCTATTCCAATTTGCTGTCCCCTTCTTTGGTTTAGTTTTTATTTCATAGCATTCATCACTGTCAGACACCATACCTTTTAAAATGTATCTATCTGAGGCACCAGAATCACTTGAACCCAGGAGGCAAAGGTTTCAGTGAGCCAAGATTGCACTGCTGCACTCCAGCCTGGGCAATAGAGTCTCAGTCTTAAAAAAAAAAAAAAAAAAAAAAAGGAAAGAAAATATAAAATTGTTTTGGGATGGTTTGATGCACTATAGTTATTTATTTGTAATTATAAACTTGGGATTAAAAAAAGACCACATAGCAAATATCTGCCAAAAAAAATTGATATAACTGAACAGAGCTCAGAAAGAGACCCTAGAATATATTAATACAAAATTTTTATGTTTGATAAAGATGGTATGATGAGTCAGTAGGGGAAGGAAACGTTATATTATGTTAACTTAAATAACTTGGAAAAAGTGTTAGATTCTCACTTCATAGCACACATTAAAATAAATTTCATATTGATTAAAGAATTAGATATGTTTAAAGCCATTAAACCAGGAGAAAATATATGAGTATATGTCTACTATTAGGATAAGCAGACTTTCTGAGATAATAGCCATGGAAGCAATTTCAAAAGAAAAGAAGTAATAGATTTAATTATATAACCTTAAAAATTTTTTGTTTCTCAGAAAACAAACTGCAAAGTTAACAGGCAAATGCAGACTAGGAAAAGTATTTTCAACATTCCTAGCAGATAAAGGATTAATAGCATTATGTATAAAATTATCATAACAATCTATAGGAAAAATAACAAAAACGTAAAACAGATAAAAGACAGAAATAGACAATTCATAAATAAATTCAGATATCCAATAAAGGTGAAAAATCTTTTGATCTCATTAACATTTAAGTGTGAGAGACTAAAAGGCTGATTGAAAGCTCTCTATATGTGGGTGATACAGAAGGCTAATTAATAGCCACCAAAGATATGTCTATGTCCTAATGCCTGGAATCTATGGGTGTTACCTTATATGGCAGAGATTTTGCAGATGTGGTTAAGGATTTGGGGATGGGGAGATTATCCTGTGCTCCAGGGTGGGCTC